ATGACAAACAAATATTATAGCAAATAATTATAACATCAATATGTGGTGACAACTCAACTCTACAAAAATTAGTTGATAACAATAAGTGATGGCGAAAAATAGAATATGTTTGTAAACTTAAACGAATAAGAAATTTCCAGGTATGTAATTCTAATTATTATAAGTAGTAGGTACGTAGCCCAGCATAATTTTTGCTTAATATCAGGGGCAAATCAACATATTCAGCATATGCAGAAATTAATTCTTGATTAATTATTAGATAACTAATTTATTACGAAAATCAAATATCAACCGTTTTATTTATGATCCGCTTGTGCATGAAGTGGAGGCAACATCAGCCGTGTTTACAATCAGAGCAGGGGAGCTTGCGCTGGTGTTTACGTTAATACTATCATTTTGCTCACCACTGCTTACGATAAACTTTTTGTGTCCTGTTAAACCCTGTTTGTTTATGTAGAAGCTCTTCTGTACTGCAAGTGGACTTGTACTAATATCGTCAACGTTCAGTCTATTAAGAAAACTAGCAGCGGCTTTAGAGGCGCTATCGCAGGAAGACAATTCGATACTGATACTTGAACATCCACCAATCGAGGATGTTTCACTCTTCATGTCATCTAATAATGTAGCATCATCTTGTATATCTGTGCTCATTGGTTGCAATCCATTACCTCCGCTTGTATCACCACTGCCTACGGATGCATTACTAGTTGTCGAAACAGTGTTATTTGTAAGTTTGTCATCATTGTCCGCAATGGAAATGCCTTCGTCAATACTACCACCTCCAATGCACATAGGCTCACTACCACCAGAAACGGAAGAAGTCGTTGAAGAGGCGGATGAACATATACCTAAGGTAGTAGTTGAGTCGATGATTCCACCACTTACGCTGCTACTCGGCGATGAACATGCTGAATTATTATTTGTATTGTTGGTGCATAACTTTGAAATGAATAGCTTTGGTGTTATTCGACCATCATATGTTCCAGAATCTGGACTGGGGCATATTGAAGATGGTGACTGACAAACAGGCGAAGTTCCCCGACTAAAAAATAATAAATTAGAAATCAAACACAAAGTTTGAGTTTCAGCTTAACTCTACCTCTCGGTAAATATTTTCTTTAATGGTGGTTGGGAGTATACATTCCAATTACTGCCAGGGCCACTGTCATCCAGCTCAAATTTACGTTTAACAGGGCCTAACTGCGAGGGCCGCATAGCAATTGGTGACATTGAGCGACGCGTAGCGAAAGTACGTCTTGTTGGCGATGGAGACAAGCCATAAGGAAGCTTCATTCCGGCGCGATTACTGTAAGAATGGAGTAAGCGCCAATTATATATAATTTCTTCTTTTTTTTGCAATAATCAATAGTTTTAATACCTTGTTGGGCTTGGACTTGAACAACATGCTGTCGCAGAGGGCAACATGACCTGCAAGGGATTGCTTAGCTCCTCTGATTTACAGGACCAATTTTCAGCAACTAAAGTCAAATCCTCCCAACTTTGTGACATCTGCATGGCACTGTGTATTTCACGTTCATGATTTGCTTCACGACTGTTTACCATGTCAACGCACTCCTCTTGGCGCAATTGAGAAACTCGTGGCGTGAGACACAGTGGTAAACCACTTGCCGCAGCAGCACTGCCTGCAGCACCAGCTGCTCCATGCGGTGTATAACTAGCCGAATAACGACGAGCTCTTGGTGCAAATATATTAAACATTGGAGCTGGTGATACTTCTCTATAATTTATAAGTGTAACTAAATGTTAGACATTCAGAAAGCTTAAGTTTTGTTAAAATAATACCTTGAGGAAGGATTTGAACGTGGTATTCCAATTTGCATATTATGACTGAAATTGTTACCAGAAGAAACATCTCCAATAGTATCACGCATAGTAAACGTTTGACTCTTCTTTGGTGTAGCTAGCGTCTCTTTGGGGTTAGCTGCGTGTCCCCCGTTGCGCATCGCCAAAGCTGCGGCTGCAGATCGAGTTGTCATACAAGTGGATGCAGGACCAGCGCGTAATATTGGCACACTCAAACAACGTTTTAAGATTTTATTATTTAATGGTGCAGTTATACCCACTGTTGACTCCCCAAAATTTACAGAGCTTGATGCTATCCCGATTGTTTCTGCGTTTGAACTTGTAACTAGTCCTGCGGTTATTGTTTGTGGTGGTCCATCAGCTGCTTGATTAGATTCTCCTAAATCCATTGTGTTCTTGCAATTTTTGACTTCCGACACACTGCTGTTACTTGGTTTATTCTCACTGATCTTCACTGCAATACTGTATAAGCAAAGAACATAATTATTTATCGGATTATGCACGACCTGCTAGTTGTAGACAAATTTGGGAAACCCAGAGGCGGGTAGGCAAACAGGCAATCGGACGGCTCGCAACCTGCTGAGCTGTTAAATACAAACCGACCGCTGGCTGCTCGTCTTCTGCACTGCGATACGCGCGGTGCTGCCAGATGTTACTTAATGGATTTATCAATGTGAAGTGTTTTTGCTCGCCTAGATAAAATGTTAATCTACTAGTCATATATGTAAATAGGAATGCTTTAATAGGGAGATAATGACACTATTGGACGCAATCAAATCGCATTTCAAAGTGATATTGGGGCGTATTCTGGTTTTCCTACGAATCGAACATCATGAACTTTTTCAATCATCTTCTACACAAACTTTTCAAAATTTCGATTCGTACGAAATCAAGAATTCGCCTCATTGTTTGCCATTTATATTTATTTATTTTCAAAAAATTTCAATTTAAAGACAGTTCATTTTCTAACAAAACTCATATAAAACCAAGTTTGAAACTTTTAAAAAGACTACAAAAAGACGCAACAAATTTCACCCAAATTTCATACTTTTTTCAGATGTGTTAGAATTTTTTCGAGTACACAGTTTTAAAGCCCATTAAATTTTAGTTGTAACAAGGCGCATTAATACAAGGTGGTGTTGATTGAACAGCTGAATGGATATTTTTGTCTCTACACTAGTACCTACAGGACGAAAAGGCGCAACTTTAGGATGTCAACAAAACGAAATTACGAAAATTATCTCCCATTCCCTTTCGTTTTGACATCCAGATGTACCAAAAAGCAATAAGAAAATACACGGAACTTTTACTTATATGCAATTGCCACCACCTTGTATGGATGCGCCTTGGTCTGTGATATGCAAGTTTCATGTGGCTAAAACTTACCGTTGATTTTTTAGAGTTTTTTGTCGCATTTGCTTCCATACAGCGAAGAAATTCTAAAAAATCAACGGTAATATTTAGCCACTTAAAACTTGCGCAATATTAGACTAAAATTACATGGACTATAAAACTGTGGACTCGAAAAAATTCTAACACTTCTGAGAAAAAGGTTTGAAATTTGGGTGAAAATTTGATGCTTTTTTGTAAATTTCTAAAAATAAATATATAAACGTGGGTGGCAAACAATATCACTTTGAAATGCGGGTGCTATTGTATTGGCCAATAATGTATATGCGTTCGATCAAGTAAACCCTTTAATAAAAAAAACTTAGAAATAATAGGAAGAAATTGGTAAATTTATTTTTTTTGCAACTGGATAATATAGCGTTTCGATGATACACATGTACAGGTTGATCCATATAGGCCTGTTTTTTCTTTTTAAATAAAATACTTAAAACAGAACTGGATGACGGAATCTTTAATATTACCCGAAATAAAATTCTCGCACATTTACTTTTTAAAAATAATTTTATTCAAATGTTGCCTGTGATTAGGCTGTATGTGGTCCACACGGAAGGTCTAGTTTTCAATTACTCTCTGATATCACACGATAACTTGCTTAAACCAAATGTTGCCGACTTCACAGGCTTCAATTACAAGCAACAAAAAGGCAGTTATCATGGTACGGTAGCGCTCAATATCGACGATTATGGTCTGTCAGCGGTCAACATTGGAATGAATTTATTTTTAAGAAGTAAATGCCAGAGATTGTTCTTTCGGATAACAATAAAGATTACGACATCCCGTTCCGGTTTAAGAGTTTTATTTAAGCTGAGAAAAAAGTATAGCTGGATGAGCCAATGGGCCGTATGAATAAAAATAAGCAATTGCTTTTTCTTAAAATTTCAGATCTTTTACTCAATTTATTCAAACAAAATTGAAGTAAAAGGTATGAAATTTAAAAAAAAAGCAATTGCTTAGTTTTTATTCATACGGCCCAATATATATCGAGCGCTTATATTCTATACGATATATCTGCAATTTTTACAAAAACTATTTCCCATGATAGAACTCATCTGGGACTTCATTGTCACCACTGATTATAATTTTAACTTTGCAATTTAATAGATAAAATTTCCAAAAAGTGATATACCAGGTGTGCATTAACATCATCGATGAAATAAATAAATATAAGCCCTGATATATGTATACATATACAGTGTCGGTCAATAGCACCCCCATAAACGTACATAAGTGGAAAAAGTGGGAAGAGCATCTGAATACCTGTAACTTCACCTCTGGTGTGAGTAAGCTTTGGTCAACCGTGAGGTCACTGTCCAATCCGACGAAGCACGACGACAGAGTCGAAATTTCTTTCAGCGACCATGCTTCGTCAGACCCGGAGCGATGCGCGAACGATTTTAGGCGGCAGTTCATACTGCATCCTCCGGCGGACAAAGCCAAGCGTCGAGTGACCAGAAGGCTGCACAAACTGCCAACAACCTGTGCCCCCTTGCTTTCACTTGCGGTGAAGTTCAGGTGGCCATCGGGAAGGCGAAAGCCACCAAAGCTATGGGTCCCGAAGGAATATGCATGCTGATGCTGAAAAATTTTGGTCCTGCGGGGGTAGCGTACCTAACGGAGGTCCGCAATTTGTCCATTACCACTCTCATCATCCTAGACATATGGAAGGTGGGGAGAGTGGTCCCACTGCTCAAACCGGGGAAACCCGCCAACATAGGAGATTCTTATCGGCCGATAACACTACTTTCCCCGGTAGCGAAGACACTCGAGGCCTCGCTGGTCCCGTATTTCACAAACCACTTGACCCCAGCGAAGCATCAGCATGGTTTCCGTAAAGTGCACAGTACAACAACAGCACTTAACACCATAAACACTCAGATAACTCGGGGCCTTAACTGTAAATGTCCCTGTGAGAGAACGATTCTAGTAGCGTTGGACCTGTCAAAGGCCTTTGACACTGTCAGCCATTCCACGCTACTAGAAGGTACAGAGGCTTCCTCTCTCCCACAGAGGCCTCAAACGGTGGTCGGCAAATTATCTGAGTGGTCGAAACTCGTCGGTAATGTTTAGAGACAAAAAGAGCAAACTTAGAAAAATAAAACAGGGGGTTCCAGAGGGTGGTGCCCTTTCCCCGCTACTGTTTAACTTTTACATTTCAAAGCCTCCTCAACCCCCAGAGGGAGTCTCGATTGCCTCTTACGCCGACGATTGCTCGATCATGGTGACTGGGAATGGAATTGACGACCTGTGTTCGAAAGTAAACGGGTATCTCTCTGAACTTTCTCGCTTCTTCACTGCAAAGGGTCTAGCCCTCTCCCCTACGAAATCCTCTGCGACCCTGTTCACAACCTGGACGAAGGACGTCAGGCTACCGCTAAGAATTCACGTCGATGACACAGATGACACACCAATTCGTAACATTCGACAGCCTGCTCTCCTTCTCTGCGCACGCAACCGCTATTGTCAATAAAGTACAGAGCCGCAACAAGGTCCAGCATGCGGAGAGACCCCTCACGACTCGAAACATCTCTTCGCATGCCCGGAAAACCCCACAACCCTAACGGCGTCGTCCCTGTGGACCGGCCCCATAGAGGCTGCACGCTTCTTGGGGCTGCCGTTAGTGGAACTAGACGAGAACGACTGAGATAACGGCCGATATGGGCGGGGTTGTTGTAGCCGCTACAACAACAACAACAACAGCACCCCATCCCAAAGATATATTGTTTGCCACTTATTTTTAATTATTTATTTGTAAGAAATCTCAATAAAATACAGTTCATTCTCTAACAAAATTCATATAGACTCAAGTTTAAAACTTTGTAAATGGAACAGGTTTTCACCCAAATTTCAAACTTACTCTCAGAAGTGTTAGAAATTTTTTGAGTACACATTTTTATAGCACATTAAATGTTAGTCTGATGTGTGCAAATTTCAAGAGGCTGAAAATTCCAGATGTTTTTTTAGAATTTTTTGTCCCATTTGCTTCCATACAACGAATAGACACAATTCATTTTTATATGAAGAAACCCGCAAAACTCTGAACAATCAACGGCAATTTTTAGCTACTTAAAACTTGCACACTATTAGACTGAATGCACTATGAAACTTCCACATCATTACACAAAAATAAACTGTGTACTCAAATAATTCTAACAATACTGAGCAAAAAGTTTGAAATTTGGGTTGAAATTTGTTGCTTTTTTTGTGGCTGTTCAACAAAGTTTTCCATTTTTAAAACACAAATGGTAACCAAAAACAAACGACGCATCAACTTTGTTTCTGATGCGCTGATTACTCTAGCGATGCGTTTCGATAACTTTTCGAAAATTATACATTGTCAACCAATTGTAGTTCGGCGTTATGGAACATTACACTTTGTACGTATGCAATGCAATTGACGTTTTGGAAGTCAGCCATATTGTACATATCTGAGTTCGTATCGTATCACAGCTTGATTTCGAGTATGACTAAACTTACTTCTAGGGTACAAACTCGCGTTAAAATTAGAAATAAATGGTATGACAGACAATTGACTGAAACCAATAAGGAAAAATTCGAGTCATACCAAAAGGCAATAGTCACAGGTGATTGGGTAGAATATAATGAAATAAAGAAAAGGTATAAGAAAATGATTAAAACTAAAAAAACACAATATTTGGAAAACAAAGTTGATATAAATAGAAATGATAGTCGTTTGATGTGGAAATATTGTCAATAGCACTGACAACAAAGAAAACATCATGGACATGGTGGAATAATAACAAGGTGTTGTCAGTAGCCATGGTGGAATAATAACAAGGTGTTGTCAGTAGCGACGTGTTTGTTGTAATTTTGACAAGATTCGTTTTATCGCGATTTTTAAGGAACTTGGTGTTTTCAGAACAATATTAATATTTAAAATTGCTGGATTTGTATAATTTTTGTCCTCAAAAAGTAGAAAAATAAAAGATATCGTGGTTATCAATGGAAAAAAACGTACACAAAAATCGTATGGAAAGGCGCTTTTTTATATTAAATAACTTTTGCTGCATTGCCATAATATTGAGCCAAATGAACTACTGATACACTAGAATAGAGTGGCTGCATGGTTAAATTAGGAATTCGCTTATATTATCGATATTTATGTGTTTTAATCTATTTAGAAAATCATTTACAGTCTTATAGGAAATTGCCTTATTTTACAGCTTTTACTTCTTTAAAGTTACA